TTCTCTTTTTTTGGGGAAAATAATTTAAATTTTTGCCCCATTTTTCTGCAGAACAACGGGACAGAGAAATCGGTGAGTGCCCCAAAAATGGGAATTTTTACCTTATTTTATATTTAAATAAATTCTATATTCAAATCTATTCAAATCTATTCAAATGTATATTTCTGTATTTAAACATGCAAATATCGAAGGCAGAAATATGCAAATAATATTTTATTACTCTTTTTTGTGATAATAATTTGAATTTTTATGCCATTTTATATTGAAATAAATTCTATTTTTAAATCTATTACATTTAAATTCATGTTTTATAATATATTTAAATATTTATAATATATTCAAATATATTACACTGTGTGCTTACATATTTAAATATGCAAATGATATTTTAATTCTAATTTTTGGGGGAAAATAATTTGAATTTTTGCCCCATTTTTCCACAGAACAACGGGACAAACGGATCGGTGAGAGCACAAAAAAATGGGAATTTTGGGGGGAAAAAATGGGAATTTGGGGAAAAATGAGAATTCTTGGGGAAAAAATGGGAATTTGGGGGAAAATTTGAATTTTTCCCTGTTAAAATTCCCATTTTTCCCCATTAAAATTCCCATTTTTTTCTCCTTTTCCAGCCGAGATGAACGCAGAGCTCGGTGAGTCCAATATTATTTTTCTTAATTTAATTAATTTAATAAATTAAAAATTAATTAATTAATTAATTTTCTGACTTTTTAAATTCAATTTTTAATTGGAATTTCCTAATTAATCCCAATTAATTTTCCATTCCCAGAGGAATCTCGATTAAGGATCTGTGAGTATCCCGCGCCTTCGGTAATTCGCCTTAATTCCATTTATTTCCTTAATTATTTTAATTAATTTGAATTTATTGCCCATTTTCCTCGATTTTACTCTTAATTGTTTCATTTTCATTGAATTCTTTTTAATTAATTCGAATTTTTTAATGATTTCCTGCAGGGTGGTGCCTCGAGGAGCACCGTGAGTCATTTCCCTCCCTTTATTCCCAATTAATTTTAATTTAATTAATATTAAATAATACGCAAATGAATACCCATTAATAATTTTATAAATATATTTTTTATATTTTATACATTTTATAAATTTTATGAATAGTTTTTATAAATTGTATCGATACAATTCTATTTAGTTTATAAATTTTGAAAATATAATTATGAATTGTATAAATATCATTCTATTTATTTCATAAATTTTATAAATACATAATTTTATAATTTTTATAAATACAATGAATTTTACAGATTTTAGAAATCAATTTTATAAACTGTATAAATATAATTCTATTTATTTTATAAATTTTATAAAT